CCCCACCCAGGACAGTGCATGGTTCACAGTTTTTATGGTCTGACACGCCTTGCAAGACCAGTTTCCTCCTCAACAGGAGATGAAATTGAATCTTATTTAAATAATTTGCTCAAATCACACAAGTAGTGACAAAAAATGGCATCAATCCATGGCTCTTTTGGCTCAAAAGCACATATTTAAGCACTAGTCTGTTCTGCCGGATGAATAAATCTGTGCTTTCTAATTAGGGAATTCATGATCATCACACAAGCAAGTTATACAAGTTGAGCCTTCATTGTGTCACATAAAATAAGAGATACTGTGTGCAATGCAATTTATAATAAAGTTCCAGAGCAGAGCAAATATTCAATAAATTATAGCTATAATAATTATTATTAAACAATTTTACACAGATATGTAAAATCACATTTATTTATATTCTTTACTTCACTCAAACTTTGCCCTGCCTCCAAACTTCATAATAAGCCCCCTCAGCTTTAATTTCTCCCCAGTTTCTTACCTTTTGAACTCTCTCCAAACTTCTCTGGAATTCTTTTGAAACAGGAATTTTAGGGTAATATAGGCAGGCTTAGGGAATTTTTAGAATTGGGGTCTGTGGAAAAATAATAGGGTTACAGATTGGGAGAGGGTACATCTCCATAACACAAGGAAGCCAGGTGCAGCTACATTTCCATAAGACAGGGAAGCAGCAACAGGGACATCTCCATAACACAAGGAAGCCAGGTGCAGCTACATTTCCATAAGACAGGGAAGCAGCAACAGGGACATCTCCATAACACAAGGAAGCCAGGTACAGGGAGCAGCAACAGTTGCATTTACATAAGACAAGGGAGCTGGAAGTAGCCAAAAGGGTCTATATCCTATATAATAAAACCATAATATGCAAATTGCTGGTGGAAGGACTGGTCGCTATGACACACACTAACCACCAAGGGGCAGACCCTCAATGCAGGAGCTGCCCCCTGTTGGTCAGTGTGCACCCACAGGGGGAGTGCTGCTCAGCCAGAAGCCGGGCTCACAGCTGGCGAGCACAGCGGAGATGGCAGGAGCCTTTCCTGCCTCCGAAGCAGTGCTAAGGACCCCTTGGGGGGTCCCAGACTGTGAGAGGGCATAGGCCGGGCTGAGGGATTCCCCCTCCCCAGTGCATGAATGTCATGCACCAGGACTCTAGTTTACAAAATAAAGAAGAAGGAAGAAAGCCCAGAAAGAAAAGAACAATGAGGGAGGAGGGCATCACATGTCCCATGTGGTTGACCTTTGAGTTCATGAGTTGCTATAGTGACCAAATCAAAAAGGGGGATAGTGGCCAATCAGAGGGGATATCAGGACATAGGAACTACAGCCTTTATAAACTGTGGAAGAAGGGATGGGGTGGGACTCTTTCCCCCTCCCCACGTGGGAGTCCATTCTGTGGGACTCTTTCCCTCCCTCCACGTGGGAGTCTGTATTTGTTCTTCAATAAATCTCCACCTTTGCTATACTACCCTCTGTCCGTGGATTCATTCTTTGACTCCAGTGGACAAAGAATCCGGGTTCCAATCCAAAAATTCCCTATCACTTTCCTCCCCTAGTGATTAGACAGGCCAGGCACAGGGTGTCTGCTTACATCATACATCTCCTTCCCTTGTCACCAGATTTAGACAGGCCCACCTGCTGGATTTTCAGTTCTCTGTAGAAAGTTCTCGTGAAAAACAGAGGCAGAAACATAAAATCCATCAGATTCTAAGGAAAGAGAAGAAAGCACCCTATAACCATGTAAGATGATGAAGTTAGGACTGAATTTATTCCATCTACTGGGTGCCAGGCTCTATTCTAAGAACTGAGGATCCTCCAGTGAACAAATGAGACAAAAATGTCTGACTTTGTGGAGCTTAAATCATAGTGAAAGGAAACAAAAAACAAGCAAGTAAAAATATACAGTATTATTCAGATGATAATAAATGCTAAGGATAAATAAGTAAAGTAGAGAAGAGAGACTGGGAATGATAACAGTGGTGGGGTGGAGTTGGTATCTACATTTAGCTTTGTTTTCTAACAGTAAATCCAGGGTTGAGAGCAGAGCAGAGAGAAAACATGGTCATCATGCTCAGGACTAGACCTTGTCTGGGGCATCAGTATTGATTTTGGAATGCCACCCTTGGGAACAACATATTTTCAGGGTCATTTGGGAGAAGCTTCACTCTAAGTCCCTATTCCTCACCAGGCAATATGCATTCCCACACAGCAAACTCCAGAGGTAAGCAAAGAGCCCTGAAAAGTGGATCAGTCTAAGACTGAACTTACCAAAGTGTTTTATCAGCTTTACCTCAGATTTGACATCATACTTATTGGACTAAAGAAAAAAATCTGTTTTTCAGAACTGGGTTTAGAAGTCTTCCTTGAAACATCAGGAAAGCAGTAGGAGCACCAGAAAACAGACCTAAGCTGGCTTGGGTGGGTGGAGACTGGTACAGCCACATCACTTCACTTCCAGTAGCACCACCTCTAAATTGTTGTTGCCTTGAAAAGACCCCTTCCTTAATCCCAAACAAGAAATTTCTTGCTATTCCAAAATTTTCCAGGAGATGGCAGTACATCCTTAAAAGCAGCAGACCTACCAGAAACAAATTTGCCTACTTTGTGGCTGCCACAGAAGCCAAAATTAGGTCAAGATATTTGACGGGTGGGTGGGGTGCTAAAAATTATATTAAAATCTGATTCTGTTCTAGTTCCGTGTTTCACCCAATTTTTTACTAAACAGGGCTTCATAGTGGTCTGTATGTCACCACTTAACCTTTAGCACTGTTATGCCCACAAATTGATTCTTCAACACACAGCTACTATGACTCTCCACCATCTCACCTGTGTCTGAATGTACCCAGAATTTCTCAAGCTAAGACATAGCAATCCTAAACATAAGTAAATTCATTCCACCTGACAGAGAGTGAACAGGTATTATAAAAACCTAACCCAGGGTTCATGATGCAAGCTTTGAAACCACCTTTCCTCTCCTTGGGTAAAACAAGAAGTAGAAATAAGGCCTGATCTGTAAAGCCAGATCTATAAGGCACGGCCCAGGTTAATATTTGTATTGTTGGAATCATTATATTTTGAGAAAACTAGTAGAATAAGTGAAACACAAAATCCACATTCTAAGTCATCCCCTGACCTCTACCCAAGCTCTGGTACTTGGTGTTCTTCCTTCCATTCAGTTAGAGGAAAAGAAGAGATAATCCAATAACACATTGAACTCTTTAAATCACTGGAATATTTCAGGCTAATATAAGGTGAGATGGTATAATATATTGGGAAATTAATAAGGAAAAGAAAGAATCTGACTCCACCTAAAAGTTCTGTAATTTTACTTTCTAACCTGGAATCCAACTCTTGACTCTTCTTTACAAAGGTCAGAAGAGCCCATCTGTGGTCAGCCCAGCCTGTCCTGATCTCCCCCCAAGCTGGTTCTACATTTTCTGACAATAGATAGGATCCATAGCTGCCCCTTTGAACAAATCTCATCCAGTCAGAGCCTCTCAGTACAGGGACATTGGTGGCAAAGGTCTGGATGCAGTAGGATCATATCCAGAGTAGACCTTTGGCCAGAAGCAAGCCAAAGAGATAAATATGGTAGGGTGGAGATGATATTTTTTCCAGGATGGTCAAGGGTTGTGCCTCCCTCACTCAGACCTTTGTCAGTTAGATGGCATTTTTATGGCTCTTTTTAAAAGTCTGAACTTGTAGTTCAGAGCAGAATTGAAGGCTTCCTGTTTACTCCACTCCATATTGACACAGAAGAATTCTTACTTGTTTCTGTATCTAAGAAATAATCATCATAATCATACTTCTGTATAGAACTTCATAATAATAATAATAATGGCTTTATTTATATGGTACTGTATTAACTATGTGCTAGGCACTGTTCAAATACTTTACATTTAACTCATTTTAATCATCAACAACCCTGTGACAAAAGTTCGAGTGTCATTTCTATTTTGTAAATGAAGAAACCAAGGCACAAAGAGGCTAAGTGGCTTTCCCAAGGTCACACAATAAGTGCATAGTTAGGACTTCAAACTAGGCAATTTGGCCCCAGAGTCTTTCTCCTTAACTAATACATAATACTGGCTCTACAAGGTGCTTTCACTTAGCATATTTGAGCTTGACAGCAAAACTGTGAGCAAGGTAACATAGGTATATTATTATTTCTACTTATAGATGGGAAACGAAAGCTCAAAACATGTTTCAGTGGCAAAATTGGAG